GATTTAGCTAGCACAACCAATGACCCCTATTTTGATGCCCAAGCAACAGAAAATGAGTTCGACAATTACTTGCTGATTGTAATTTTTTTAGAATTATGTTGTCCAGATTAACATGATCTGATTTCTTCTTCTTCCTCCTCCTCTTGTTTTGTTGCTGTTTCTGATGAATTAACAGGATTGGATTCTTGCTTGTGCAGAAGGCAAAATGTCTCCATACTCCTTTCGGATGAACAATTTACTGTTTTCTGATGTCAAATACATTAAAATGCAGATGGTAGCATGGGAACATCTGACCAGATAGCATCATCTGGTGCCAAAGTTCAAGTACCAATGCAGTGGCCAAACCATATACCTCAATACGTGTACAATTTCCAAGGCCCTATTCCTCAGTTTCCTCCATATCAAGGATATCCTTTCCCTACCATGCAGCCTATCCCTCCTCATTATCCAAGAAATATGCAGTGGCCTTCTAGCATGAAAGAATTTAGTCAAGGAAAAAGGGATAAGTCCCTGAACAAAAAGGGATATAAATATTCAGGAGAAGACAGACAAACAGACTCCAGCGACTCTGAAGGAAGGAGTGATTCAGATTCCCATATAGATCAGGACAAAAAGAACTCCGCTATAGATGTTCCATACAGGAAAAAACACAGGAAGAAGTCCTCTAAGACTGTTGTCATCAGAAATATTAACTACATCACCCCCAAGAGAAGAAATGAAGGAAGTGATAGTTTTTCTGATGAAACTTCTTCAGATGAGGATGAGTACATTGGTGAAGATACCATCAAAAAGAAGGTAGATGATGCAGTTGGATCATTGGAAAAATTGTGCAAGTCAAATTCAAGTACACAGAAAAGAAAAGGCTCAAACAAGAGCAACCACAAGTCAAATGGATCAAGTGATGCTCCTGACCAAGATTTTGACGATGGCCTTGTTTCAAATGCATCAAGGGGAGGAAGGACTAGCGAGAACTGGGATGCTTTCCAGAGCCTTCTGATGAAAGATGATGACACAGTTAATGGGGTAGAAAAGTTGCAACCAGTGGATGTTCAGGAAGAGCATTTCATAGTCAAAAGCTCTGGAGATGGAACTTCATTAAGGAGCAATCGTGCTATGGACTTGGGACCAGAGAAATTACTGAACAGAAGGATGGTGACAGGTGATTCTTTTATTGTGACTCCGAGGGATGGGGAACACGAAGATAGAGTTAGGCTGGAAGATATAGAAAATGCAGAGAGTTTTCGACCAATCATGAAGAGAAGGAACTTAACAGATGAGGATATGGTAATTTCACAAAGATTAGAAGATTCAGGAAGTGGTTTCAGGGGTATCCTATCTCGTTCCACTGAGCCATCCATAATCAAGCCTGGTAAAGGAGATGATTGGTTTGTTATCAATCACTCAGGGAAACCAGAAAACCAGGATACAGCCAATTACATGCTATCACTAGAGGGTGATTCTTCAAATGTGAAGTCGAGTAGAAGAGATGTACTTGTTGACGATTCTTTCATGATTCATGCTCGATCTGCTGTGGATGATTTATATGGTTCTCAATGGAAAACTGACATAAGCATGGCTATGGATCTAACTTTATCTTCCCAGGCAGAAAATGGCATTACAGAACATAATCATGAAGTTATGGATGCCTATGAACCGAATGACCTCTGTGTGGTCCTTGAACGAGATTCTGGATTCGAATCTAAAAGGGATTCCTGGGTTACAGACCAGGGAATTGACATATCATCCATGGAAGCTCATAGGAGCTCAAATGCTGAATCTGGTGATCAAACTGAGAAGAAGCTTCCTTCAAACAGTGACCAGACCACTGTCAAGAAAAATGGAATTAATGGGAGAAAAGCTCCAGAAGTGAGGACTAAAATCGTGCAAGGATCCCCCAGTAAGAACATAACTGCGAGGATGTCTAAAAGCAAGAAATTATCAGGTGGTAGTAGGCCCACAGTTCAGAAGAGCAAGCAAGAAAAGGTATTTATTAAGTTGCTTATTCAAGTTGTTTTTCATTTTGTTTCCCCAACTTTTCACCTTCTTACGAAACATGCTTGTGAACAGGAAGAAGAGATTAGGAAGAAAATGGAAGAGTTAGCAATTCAACGCCAAAAAAGAATTGCTGAAAGAACCGCAGCAGCCGGTGGTGCTCCGGCAGCAACCAAGAGGGCATCATTGGAGAGCAAATCAGTCAAAGGTTCAGCCAAGTCTGACAAAAATAAAATCATTCCTAGACCTGAGAGACAAACAAGATAGGTTACCATCAAAATCAGGCAGCTTAAGAAAGAAAGTTCAGAAGGTGAATGTTTAGATCCTTAGTTGCTGATCTCAATGAGTTGCCCGCTCGTTTTGATAGAGTTGGATGGGACAGACAGTATGTTGCTATCTACAATAAATGATACTAATACACTTGCCATAAAGTGCCTTAATCCACTTCAGCAGATACCTGCCAAGCTCTCAAAATTTTCCTTTGTGTGCAAATATCTCCACGGGTTGCTTATATAGTTATAAGATTTCATATAATGAGCCATGATGTGAATATAGTTCTCATGAGCTATTCTTGAGACTTCGCCTGCACAAATTCTTTCACATTATTGTGCTTGAAAATAACCTCCAGCTTGTTTATTGGACTTCACCGGTATGTAATTTGTTTCTTGTAAAACTACATTAATGGGAAAAAGGTTTCATCTGTAGCAATTCTATTTCTGCAACACTTTTGTTTAATTCGTTGCAAATTGTATCCAGTTTCATTCAATCCATGTTCAAGGCTTGCAGCGCGTTTGGGAGGACTAAGAAACAACACGAAAATGGGATGAATTTTTTTGAGGATCATGAGTAACAAATACTCCAATTTACTTTGAAAATCTCATGTACAAATACATTAAGTCACTTCTGATTGAGATTCTTCATGTTTCTCATCCTAAAAGTGATAGTAAAAGTGACAGCAAAATGAAAGAAATGAGCCCAGCAGCAATCCTGCCTGTACTAAGAACTTCATTACTGACATGACATCTGCAGACACTATCCAGTATTGATAGTAACAAATTGCCAGAACTGATGTTACCAAAATTGCAGGAATAGCTGTTGTTACCAAAATTGCAGGAATTGCTGCTGTTGCTATTGCAGGAAGGCAGGTAGGCAGGCAACTTGGACATTATACAGAGGCATGTCCTCTCTATTTTTATTGTTTTTTAGATGTTAACTTATCAATTTAGTTTATAAGTGTCAATACAACCTTACTATCGTGGCTTGAGGGTATAAATTCAATCCCGTGAACTCTAAATTAAGGTGCCAGCTTGTAGTAATTTCTTCCTGCAGACAGTGTATTTAGTTGAAATTACAATAAAATACAATATTTTTCATTTAGAAATATATTAAAATAATATTTTTTTAAAAAAGATATTTTTGATATAAATACATAAAAAATCCAAAAAAATTAAAAAAATAAAAATTAAATTTTCATAAAACACAATTTCACCAATATCTCTAAAAACGTAATTATAATTTGACAGTTTTACTTAACTGCATACAAAGCCAATACTTGGTCATAGCTCACTCTCTCTCTCTCTCTCTCTCACACACACACACACACATACTTGTATGACTAAACAAACTGTGTTGACACTTACATAGAATGTTGACATTTGATGTTTTTTTCTTTTAATTAATTTGAGTGGGATGCCTTAAATTTATCTAAACTAATCCGGCCACTAATTATTTGGAAGATTAATTAAATTTAAACGAGGTCATCGCCCTCCAATGGAACAACATGGAGGCTGGCACACGCTTTTGGTTTTCAACTGCTAAGTGGACAAAATCAAATCTAAGTATTATATTAGTAATATGGTATTCAATTGGTATGGTTTAAAAGGTTAAATTTTAAAGTTTTTTTTAAATTACTAATTTGATTTTATAAATTTTTAGAACTAGTAAAAATTTATATAAATGTTAATTTTAGAATTCATAAAATTAAATAAGAGACTCGCTTGGATATTTATATTAATAAAAAAAAAAAACAAACATGATATTGGTATAAAAAATCCAAATGCTAATTAATATTACTTTGGATACTGTAAAATGTATGAACCCCAAGGTCATACGAGACATATATACATATGGAGCAAAACTTTATGTGCTTTTATCATCAATGAAGTAAGTTTTAGAATTTTCTGTTGGGGGTGCATGCATGCCTAAGGACGTAGCTTATAAGCTCCAAAGAGCTCTCCAATTTATTTATTTTTCAAAAATAGTAATTAAAATACCACAATTAATTTGAAGAAAATCAAAGATGGAATTGCAAATTAAAGCATCCGAGAAAGAGATTCTTGCTGCATAATAACTTGAGTGAAAGGAAGAAAAGAAAAGGCTCAAAATCACCAATGCCATATAGTTAATTATCTTAGATCTAATATTGTTGATTAAATAAATGGAAAATTTAGAATGTTTCAAGAAATACAAGGGGGATTTAAGTAAATTAAGTTTTCTTTTTTCTTTTCTCTATTTCCAGTAAAAACAATCTTAGTTGGCAAGGTCCAAAATTAGCCCTATAATAGCTAACCATCGTAGCAGAGCCCCATGATCCTGAAAACTGATCACGAGACAGTGACCTAAAAGAGTGGCACACGCAATTTAGGAGAGGAAGCCTACGTTATGAATACAAAGGCCAGCAACTCATCCATTTCTCCTTGGATTTCTCTTTGAGAAAAGTTTCAGAGAGATCATTTTCATTTTTTTTCCCCATCTGGAACCTTTATGGGCTGCACGTTAATGTTTCATGTTTAAACTCTCTTTGTACTTTGAATATTTCTTCTGTGTTTACACACCAGGAATTTAATTAAAATATTCCCTTAGTCAATTTCTTGATTGCTAATATGATTCTCGAGACGTTTTGCGCAAGTTAATTCAGGGGCTGACAGAAAAGCTATGTCTACTGGTATATTCTGTCGCATTAAGCCCTTGCTTTTTGGAGGCAGGACTTCTAGATTTGAGGTATAAAAGTTTTCCAGTTTTTCTTTTTTATGTTTTTCACTTGCTATCTCGATAATATGCTGGTAATTATGATTCATAATGTAGAGAAAATATTTGTTCCAAAGTGAGAGAATGCTTTAGCCACAGGCTAATACCATGAGTTCTCCACTAAATTTTATGTACATCTTGTCAACTATATTCTGCGTAGTCATATGTGTTTTCATGCCAGGAAGGTTTATGTTCCTCTGATAACCATTTCATGGCACTTCCCTGCTCCTTGACTAAGTCCCTATCATTTTTGTTTTTTCATTCCTATAGACTTTCTAATGTTAGCTTTGGTTTCTTTTTCCTCGAATTCATCTAAATTTGCAGAATTGAAATAGTTTTTGTATCAGAATCTTAATAATCTAGCTTCAAGAGTTTGTATCTCGAAACCTTTATTCCATCTAATAAAATTAATACAATCACGCATGGGATATATGATTCTGTGGAATTTTTAATGTTTTTCGCTCATGTCAACTTGATTTTAATGTATGATAAATTAGGAACATCTGGTTTCTTATCAATGTTGACAGAAACAAGAGTATTATTGCAGGTAGTGAAAAGAGCTGATTTTAATGTATGATAAATTAGGAACATCCGGTAACAACATTGGCTTATCAATGCTGACAGAAACAAGAGTACTATTGCAGGTAGTGAAAAGAGCCCACTTGGTCAAGGATAAGAAGAAGGAATCAGAAGAACAGAAGATGGAATGTTCACATTCACGTGGATCTTCAGGCAACTTCATTTTGATGATGGAGCTTAGGAAGAAAATCATTACCTTTAGAGACATCATTGACCTACCACCTTTCGATGCTTCTCTGAGCATAAACGAGGTACCATAGAACTTCATCGTCTGTTGAATGAAGTTAGAACACGGGACCATGCCTTGAATCTCTGAACATTTATCTGTGTTGCAGCTGGTGATGGGAACAATGAGAGATCTGCACAAGTTCTACCCTGAAATCATACCCAGTAGTCAACTGTATGAAATTAAGGGATCATCTATCGATAAGGTTTTCTACTTAGTCCTATCATGACCACTCCATGGCAGTTGTTGGATGCAATTCTTTTAAGATTTCGAAGCTGATCATCTAAATGCATGCTCAAACAGGTTCTGAAATATTTTTGTGAGGCTTTGAGATCAACTGGGGATTCATGGATGATGAATCAAGAGTGGATGGACAAAGCTACATACAACATGTACAATAACAGTGATCAAAGGATCAGTTCGGAACAAGCAGGTATGATACAACTTTTCCAGAATTTCGTCAGCAGTATATTTTTATCCACGTTGAAAAAAAAATGGAACAAGTTGATTGAAAGAATTTTGGAAAGTGTGCGTTGTACTGAAGAGCTTGGTTTTTTCCATTTAATATCTCCTTGTACAACTAGTCTGAAGTTTCATGATTGAAGGTGATTACTTCTCTATCTTTCTTTCTTTTTTTTTTCTGAATTTTTAGTTGAAATTGCTTCCGCAACACTCACCTGCATGATTAAGATAGCAAGAGAAATGTTTGATGTGATGGATGAATATGAGCCAAATAAAGACATTCAACGATCCAACGCCTTCAGCAAAATCTTGATGGAATCCTCTTCAGACAACAACATCTATAGCCCATGTGCTTCTCCAGAGACTCCTACATCAGTGCTTCCCGAGTTTACGGGTTCTCCTGCTTCTGGAGAATTTTCAAATTTTTATAGCTCTTCTCCTCTTCTCAGATCTCTGAGAGTTCAAGCACTTGAAAAATTGAACCCCATGGACATAAAACGTCTCTCATTCCACATGCCTTCAAACCTGGAAATTCTAGACGGCAGCAGTTTGAAACGAAAGGACAGAGTGGATGATGAAACAATGACAGAAGTGGAAGCAAAGCGCAAGCCATTGTTCGAAAGGAGCAATTCAGAAGAAAGCAGCAATTGTGAGGAACTGATGTTTGAAATAGAAGCAAGCAATCATTATGATGTGAAAAAAGCTGCTGACCTTGAGGATCACAGCGATTACAGCTTCAAACGTGGAATGCCACAGATTGCAGCAGCTGAGACCAATCCAGTGATAGCTGAAGCCATAACGCCACCAGCTGCATTGTCAGTCAATGCATCACCAGTTCCACCAGCGCAGCCTCACATATCCTCACCCATGATGGTAGACGTTGTGGCCACACCATCACTACCATCTACTCCTCCACCAATGAAGCTGCAACCAGATGTAGCAACCACACAGCCACCACCTCCAACTCCACCTCCACCTCCTCCTCCACCACCACCATTCGTGCTGCAGCCAGCGACTTTTACAGTGGCTAACGTACCACCTCCACCACCCCCCCCCCCCCACCGCCACCACCTACTATGTCAAGAACTGTAACAGCACCCCCGCTACCACCTCCACCACCACCACCACCACCTATGGCATCTGGAACTGCAGCAGCAGCACCCCCACTGCCACCCCCACCCCCACGTATGTTATCAGGAACTGGAACAGCAGCATCAATGCTGCCACCACCACCACCTCAAACATCAACTGCAAGAAACGCACCACCTCCTCCACCACCACTCATGATGTCTTCAAAAGGAATGATGCCATTGCCACCGCCACCACCTATGCCTCTCGGAAATGGAGCTGCTCCACCACCTCCTCCACCTGGTGCAGCAAGATCATTACGCCCCAAGAAAGCACAGACTAAATTGAAGAGATCAAGTCAGATGGGTACTTTGTATCGAGCGCTTAAGGGGAAGGTGGAAGGAGGAAATCAGCTTACTAAATCACCTACTGGAAGAAAGGGTCCAGCTTCGAGCAGTGCTGGCGGAAAGCAGGGAATGGCTGATGCACTAGCAGAGATTACAAAGAGGTACGTATTGCTTTCTAAAGAAATCTAACATCAAGAAATAATCTGTTTGGTTAACCTTTATTTGAAGGGAATGGAAAAGGTCATAAATTAGAACCAAATGAGTTTCTTTCTTTGTGCCTCAGATCAGCATACTTCCAACAAATTGAAGAAGATGTTCAAAAGTATTCAAAGGTAATCACAGAGCTGAAGGCTGCCATCAGTACCTTCAAAACAAAGGACATGACAGAATTGATCAAGTTCCACAAGCATGTCGAATCAATTCTTGAGAAATTAACCGATGAAACACAGGTTAATATAACAGAAAAAGTTTGTTATTTTCACCACTCTTCAACGTCCACATGTCCTGTTCAATTTCTATATCATCATGACCTGTATTTCCTTGCATTACAGGTGCTTGCAAGGTTTGAAGGTTTCCCTCAAAGAAAGCTGGAAGCATTAAGGACAGCAGCTGCCCTAGGCTCAAAGTTGAATGGCGTAGTGTCTGAACTGAAAAATTGGAAGGCAGAGCCCCCATTAGGCCAGCTTCTTGACAAGACAGAACGTTACTTCAACAAGGTAACTTTGTCATAGTCCTGAACCTCATTGTAAGACAATCTTCATTATTTGCAAGATTTTTTACATGCAGCTAAAAGAATTAATAACATGCAGATCAAAGGAGACCTTGACGCCTTGGAGAGGACAAAAGATGAAGAATCCAAGAAATTTCAAAGTCACAACATCGACTTCGACTTCCATATTCTTGTACAAATCAAGGAATCAATGGTGGATGTTTCTTCGAGCTGCATGGAATTCGCACTCAAGGTAGATTCGCCTATGAATTAACATTTTGTTTCAAACTAGAAGCTCAATTCACACAACTTGAGGATCATTTCCAGAAGATGATTTGACTTTGAAGAGGATTTTTTTTACCATTTTCTTCTGCTTTTGAATATATTCAGGAGAGGAGGCAAACAAAAGCAGCAGAGACAGCAGTACCTGGAACCAAAACAGAACCTAGAAGTGCTGGTGCTAAGATGCTTTGGAGGGCTTTCCAATTCGCATTCCGGGTTTATAGCTTTGCTGGTGGACATGATGATCGAGCTGACATGCTGACAAGAGAATTGGCCCATGAAATAGAGACTGATCCTCATCATCAATGAATGATTAAAAACTACTAAAAGAAAAGAAAAAACCCTCTAGAGTATACACATATGTTTATATTCTATATTGCATTGATTGACGGCGATGGAACATCTTCAGATACAACTTTTGCTTGCTATTTTGATGAACTAGGACTTAGCACTGCTTCAAGTTTCTATGCTACGATATTCTTTATGGAACTTTGAGTCACAACTCTAGCTATTCTACTCCCATTTGTAATATGTAATTCTTGAGGTGCATGTTCTTAAGGGATTGATTCTTTGCCCCCTTTTTTTCCGATAAATCATTTGATGGTTGAGGGATTTGGAGGTGTACTAGAACCTCATTTTTGAAAAAGAAAAAATGTGGCTACCAATTATGCTATGATGCCTTGGCACGGCCATGTATTTTATTATTATTTCTACTTTATATTTTTCATTTGTAGCTTCAAATTTCAATGTCCTTTTCTTATCTTTCGATTTGATGTTGTTGAATAACACCTCAAGTTCTTGTTGGAAAATATCTGTCGTTTTCATTTTAATTCATGAGGACCTATCATTGAAATTTTGCTTCATTTGATTGAAGACTTTCGAAATTTTATAAGCATGATCAGCATTTTAGGCTATCTCAAATATAAGCTTGTTTGCACAGAACTGCAATGAAGATTAATTCGCATAAAAAGAAATTGCAATGAAGGTAACATTTCTGTTCTTTATCATTTTATTTTATTTTTTATCTTGAAGACAACATTTCTTTGCTTGATTAATCCAGATCAGTACATGGATCAGAAGAACAAAAGGTAACCACGTATCTCTTAATCAGCAAGCTAAAAGAGAAGCAAAATACATACTTATACGTATCTCTTAATCTTGATGACGATATCTTTAGAGTGATCATTCTTTTGTATACTCAATCTTGACGCCACCAATATTAACAGGGTTCTTACCAGACCTAGGCACCAAAGTCACCACCAAGCTATCATCACCTTCAGCTTCCAAATTGTCCAGCAATTCGTTAATCGCCAGTGTCAAACGAGCCTTCCTTTCGGTCCTCCTCCTATGAGGCACATTCACAAAGCTCCCAGCAAACTCAGCCTTGTCTGGTCCTCTGAGTGATTGATCACCCTCATCGTTAACATAAACATCAAACTTCACAAACTCCCCTCTCTCAAAATCAACTCCTTCTATCACTAAAACTTCCTCTTCATCTTCTTTCTCCTTCTTACTTCTTGATTTCTTTGGCCTCGAAACCTCAGTACTTATCACTTTATCTAAATCTAAAGGGAATGAACTGATTGGTGTTAGCACCATATTCTTTGTTTCAGCTGCTTGTGCTACCTTGCCGTGATCAAAATCCCTTACCCCTCCTCTGATTTTCTCTACAGCTGAGACTGGCTTAGCATCATTGACATAAGCATCACTAAGAATACTGCTTGCACAATAAAGGCCCCCTAAACCAAGGATGACATCTCTTCTTGTGGTAGGGTTTCGAGGATCATGATCATTAGTAGCTTTTCTTGAAACAGCACAAGGGGTTGAATGGTTGGATACTTTTGGGGAGGAGGGGCAGAAGGAGGAGGTCCTAGAAGTCGATGGGGAGAACGCTAAGGTATGAGCCATGGTTCCCTTTGTTTTTGTGGCCAGACATAGGATAACGCTCCATGTTTATTTATTTATTCAGGATAAAGGAGAACAAGACATCAAAATAATTGCCGTCGCTAGATATATAATCAACTGTAGAGATGCGTCAGCAATGATGTTCGAGCCTTAAGGTGCCGTGCTACGCATCGACTGTAAATTTCTCAGGTGGTAGATGAAATATAGAAGAAAGTCGTGTGGAAATTCCATTTCCATGCTTTCCATGGCATTGACATGTTGTGTAAACATGGGATTTTTGGTTTCACTAGATAAGATGACTCATTTCAACTTCCAACTTTGAGTGCCATTTGGTTTGAATTTTTGCAGTTCTTTACTTCCTTCCTTTCGATTTTATTTTAAAAACAAAATAGGGAAACAAAAGATAAATTGGTAAGGTGGAAAATTTCAGAAACTTCTTTTATAAAAATGGGATTTTTTATTTAAAAAACCATCAATTTTTTATTAGGTTGATTTGAGAATTAAATAATTTTTATCTCATTAAAAAAAGGTAAATTCTCATAAAAAAAATTTATAAAAATAAAAATGTTGATTAGAGGTGAACATCGGTTTAAATAGTTGGGTCTAAATCAAAAATTCAACTAAACTATATTTTTTAAAATTTAATCAAATAAATGAATAAAAACTTTCGGTTGAATTCAATTAAGTTTAATTTTATATTTTTAATAATCAAATAAGTTCAGATGAAATTTCTAGTAGAGTAATCTTTACTGGCTTAAATCTTTAATAGGCTTTTAGTTTATAAAATATTTTTCAGTTTAATTCATTATTTTTTGTTTTTGAAACTAGATAGGACTGAATTTTCTAAAAAGTCTTATAATTAAAAATATAAAAAAAATAATTAAAATGTTATTCAATTAGATTAATTTGAGTTAATTTTTACTAGTATTTAAGATAATTAGTTATTTTATATTTTGATTAATATTAATATTCAGATCAGTTTGTACATGTATAAATTGATCTTATGAGTTTTGAAATAAACAATTATATAAATTTTTAATAATTCTAAAATGATTTATAGGATTCCAACCAATGAACTTTAAAAAATAAATATAAAACTTAACTAATTAAATTATATATTTTAAAATTAAATAAGTAATTACTTGATATAACATTACTTAAATAATTAAGTAATTTGGCATGAGAAAATGTTGGTGTTAAACGATGGTGGCACCATCTTATTAACCGTTGACAATGGAAATCTATATTAACGAAAAAAACCGAGGCCAGTGTATTTTCAGAAGGTAGGTTACATATTTTCGGGCTCGCTTACATAAATGTATAGATAAATATATATTAAATCTATCTCTTAAGTTCAATTAAACATTAGTTAATTACATTGGAATTTGAAAAATCAAAATGAAATGCATATTTGTAGTTGACTCTAGCGATATGTTTGTCAAAGGAATGGAAGAATGGATGGACGATAGCAGAGAAAAGAGGGGGATTGCCTTGAAAGTATTTTTATACTGAAAAAAAATATTAAATTAATATTTATTTTGTATTTTTGATGTATTAATATTAGAAATTAAAAAATTAAAAAAAAAATCAATAAGGTATCAATTCATATTTTCTTCCTTGTTTATATCCTTGCATAAAAAAAAAATCAATAAGGTATCAATTCAGATTTTCTTCCTTATTTATATCCTTGCACTATATATTTTATCCATTTTTCTTTCTACATTTGCTCTTCTTGACAAGCATAACCTAAATTAATATGTAAGGATTATAAACACTTCCAACCACGCTATTACTAATCTTCTTGACAATTTTTAATTGCAAGTTCCATTAAGGTATTCTATGTTTATGAGTGAAACCTCGTATGAAATCTAGATGTCGAGAAAAGCCATACTACATATATATAATATATAATATGGGATAAATACATTTAGTCACCTAGCTATCATCTAATCATCGATCTTTGCATGTGCTTGATATCCTCTTTTTTAAAATTTTTATCGTGAATATCTAAATTAGTTTAGATATATTTTAATTAATTTTTTAAGATATTAAAGTTAATAATTAAATAAACATCCAGTTATTTTGAAATTTATAGATATTTTAATTAATTTTTTAAGATATTAAAGTTAATAATTAAATAAACATCCAGTTATTTTGAAATTTATAGCATTTAAATTAATAATCTTTCAAAAATAAATTCAAAACCTTATTAGTTTAGCTCACCTAACTCAATATGTTTTTTTTAATACGAACCAATTGTTGATTTGCTTAATTTTTTTTTAGAACTTGCCACTGTAATTAATTCCTCGATGAGTCCACTTTGAAGAGAGGAATGGGCCACTAGCAAGTGGAGCAGTTTCTTGAGAGGGAAAACTGTCACCCTCTCCCTCCATGATCCTCAGTAGAAACTAAATTAATTGGTTACGAAAATGAGTTTCCATGGAGGTAACTACCCTTATACTGCGTACTTTCTCCAGCCACCACAAATAGTATGATCAGGTCACACCAAGTCTGGTCACAGATACTAGTATACTTCCAATATGTTTGATGTTTTCTTTGGATGGAGAAGAGCTTCAAAGTGGTAATTTTAGTCAGCCAATGTTATCCATAATCCATAGTTAATTTCATTGTTGTGTGCTTAATTATGTTCTTATTAGTCATCTGGACTTAGTTTTTTCTTTTCTTATGATTAGAGAACATGCATGTTGTCATTTTGCAGCGAGAAATCAATTAAGCGACTTCATTGCCGCCTTAATTTACTGAAGAGAAAGAGACACTCAATTGTAAGGCAGTTACGCGAGGACATTGCTCAGCTTCTCAAGATTGGTCAAAATGAGGCTGCTTTTGCCAGGGTAGTCCTTCTCCTGCTCTTTGAATTCATCACTTGAGAATTTTTTTCCTCTTCTTTTTGCTTGCTTCGAATTGGAAAATAATGTTGTTGGACCACTAATGAAGTGCTAATAGTTATTGGATTTTCCCGTTGTAGCTTCCAGAGTTTGAGATGAATAGGAAAATCAAATAACAGCAACTTCATTGCAGTTATTTTACCTCTGAAAGATTATGCAGGCAAAACTCTGAGGATTCAGGATAGATTATTTACAATGGCTCAGGCTTGTTGAAAGGGGCCTGAAATATTACTCTTCCTGTAATTATAATTATCATACAACTTTTCAGAACCCTTATGAGTTTCACTTTAATCCCACATTGATAATTAAGTTGCTGTGTTGAATCAACTGTGTCGGAAACATGCATTCATTTTGATCGTTAAGCTTATATAAGCAAGGAGAAAGCTAAGAAAACTGAATAATCACTAGAGTAATCCTGTATTAGAACCTTCCCTTAACTTGAACAAAGCACTGTAAAAAATCTTATAATTCTGGTGAATACAGTTTCATATTGATTGCTGACGTAGCTTTAGCAAGCTTGCAATAAGGCCATTTGTAAATGAATCACGATTGAATTTATTTGCCTTTTGATTGTAATGATCATTGACATTTAAATATTACACATGTTTGGCAAAATGTCATGCTTTCGTTTTCCTTGAAATCTTGTTCATTCCACGAGAATTTGATTTGTTGCTGTTGCTATTCCGCGAAGTTAATTTTCCTTGCATTTCTCAGGTTGAACAGCTTCTTAAGGACCGGAGCTTATTGGATGCATATGATCTGGTGGACCACTACTGTGAATTTATCATTCTTCACTTTCCATACATTCGAAGACATAAGTATGATTTCAGTTATAAAGCTACTCTTTGTAGAGTTAGATCAACTATACAATCAAAACCCAGGCATATAACTCTAATGCATTGCTAGAATTGTTAAATTTTCTGCACGTAAAGATCAAGTGGCAACTGAAATCCTAAGGTTCTTCTGTTAGACATTTAGTGCTCTTGCGTTGTTGTGTGTCTGTACTGTATAAAATATTAAGTTGATGCGTGACTTCAGCTTTTCTACTTTAATGTGGAAGATGATCATTTTGAATATAAGTTCTTAATCTTGATTTCAGGGACCGTCCGAAAGATATCAATGAAGCAGTTTCAACGTTGATATTTGCTGCTGCATGGTTTGGGGATCTGCCAGAGCTCCGAGCGATCAGAAAGCTTTTTGGAAAGCGCTACGGGCAGAAATTCATTAAGGATGTAGCTGCATTGCAGTCTGGAAACCTTGTCAATCATGAGGTTGGCAATTGTCAAAGTTTGAGCCAACATGTCTTCCTCAATTCTTCTTACGTGGAATTTCATCCCTTCAAGCTTTGTTTTCGATGTTGTCACTCTTAATAAGCATTGCATTTATGTCACAGATTATGGAGAAACTACGTTTAAAGCTCATCAGTGATAGTGTGAAATTAAAATTGATCAATGAAATAGCCATGGATTATGGCCTCCAGCTGTGGTACTTCGGGAGTGATAACAGGCCCAAACAACATCTTTTGCAGGTAGGCTTACCCCACAATTCATTTTTCTGAATTATGGCCCTATACCAAGTCTTTTTATTTAGACTTTTTGATGAGAAACTCTAGAATTTAGTTTAAAATCTTTGGTATCATCCAATTGCAGATGCCTGGAGACACAGATCATCAACTGGAGAGGTTTGTTTTCGAGGAAGATGCTGGTGTCAGTTATAACAGCACCAGTGGGGCAATAGTGCTAGCTTCATATGCTAAGCATAGCCCTGATATTCCATCTGAATTAACCATCCATCCTCCGGACAAGGCTCCTATGCACAAAAAAGCAGTCCATACAGAGAATCATTCTCAATACAAGTATATGTATGAACTACCTGATCAAAGTGATTTCGGAAGTTCTGGCTCAAACAACATGTCCGCAGACTCTTTCAAAGGCATTGCTGATATTGCAAGAACAGCAACTCGAGAGATTTCATTTCAGTATCACAAGAGAACTGTCTATGTTGATGAGGTGGAGGAATTTGAGTTTAATGGTAAGGACAAAAGCTTATTTTTGTTTAATGCATCCCCCCGTCCCTTGATTGACAACTATGGTGTTGATGGATCAACACTGTTGGCTTTATCCCACCATGGTTATAGTGAAGGCAATTGCAACGGACCTGAACCTGAGGATAAGATAACATTGTCGAGGAAAACTCATAAAAGGATCAGGAACTCGTATGGTCACAGGTTGGAAAGGAGAGTTGATACCAAGACCAATCGTAAGTGCGAATCTTTTCTGACACCAGTAAACAAGAAAGACAACGATTGCGTGGTCTTCAACGGTCAATTTTGCAACTTTTCACCATGTCAGAAACAGTTCTATCATCGAGTTTTTCATTTTCAAAATAAGCAGAGGACAACGATGCCAGCCAAAGAACGCAGGATTGCCTCATTGGTATGCTATGATAAGGTTTCGTCCAAACCAGTGAAAGGGTATGTTCAGTCCTGTAAAAGCCCTGAAAAGAAGTTTAGATGCTGCTTGGAGAAATCATGCTATAAATGTGATGGTCAGGTAAATGGTACTCAAACTCAAGACAACAAGAAATTAATGGAAACTGAAGAATCATCAGATTGTCCAGCAAGATATGCCTCTTCTTATAATTCCTCTTCGCAGGGGCCTAGTCCTGGTTCAAGAAAAAAGACAATCCCACCAAAAAGGCTAAAGGGCATGACCGTCCCTGATAATGATAACCAGTCAATTTCTTCTCATCTTGAGCTTTCAAAAGGAAGCACAGCCTCATCTTGTAGCCATGTACATCCAAAGCTCCCGGACTACGATGAAATAGCAGCTAAATTCATAGCTCTCAAGAAGGAGCATCAACTAAGAACCAACGCAGCTAGGCATGGCTTGAATATCGCATGAGACCAACTGCATAAGCATGCACCATGTATACAGACTGTAGATATGGTCCTCCCACTCCTTAGTCTGGTGATTTTCAAGTCATTCATACATATTCACGCACCATTTTTTTTATCCATTAATATTTTGCTCCATTCGCTCATTACTTGATTTTTTATCCATTAATATTTTGCTCCATTCTTGCCTTTGTATTTGAGGTCTTCATGACATCATCCATCCTAATTTGCTCATTACTTGTCCTGTCGTCTTTCTATAGAATCAAAAGGGAACTTATCTTCAATCTTTTAGCTTATGATCCTTTCTATGCTGAATCGATATAATATTTTTATGCTCCATTATTGGCAAGAGATTCCACAAATAACATATTATTTTGTGGGAGAGATGCCTAATGATGTGATTAAATACTACGATGGTACATCATGAGATAGTGCACATGAAGTTGGATTGCATTTGGTTAAAAGAGAGGTTGTTGTTTATGACTGTCTTTCATATGATTCTTGTCATTGGTCACGGTGTGGAATCCACTTTACATAGAGGTGCTATCTTTTTGGTCTCTTTTCTTCACATGATTCGTGCACGTTGCAAATATATATAGGGAAACCATCAAGATTATTTTTTAGATAATCATTTAAAAAAAATGATATAAAATCTAGGATTGTTTAACTATATTTTAACGTCAATAGATTCAATAATATCACACTTAGTTAGCTAACTATTCGAAATTTATTATTATTATTAAACCAAACTTAATTTGATATTTTTCCTAGTCCAAATTGAATATCTAAACAAAATTGAGCTATTGTTGACACAGTTAACTTAATAAATTAATTCATTATTTCATTAATCCAGTTAGAATTAAGTATCTAAAAAAAATCAAGTTATTATTAAGTTAGTTGACTCAATAGATTAATCTATTATTATTTTATTGATCCAGTTAAAATTCAAGTTAACATTAAAAAAAAAACTTAAATGATATATTTTACTTTAAAAATAATAATTTAATAACTCAAGTTAATTTACCTGATTTCTATACCAAACTAAGTCTTAAACTGAATAAATTCTTGAGTTGGGTTTAATAAATATAGTATTTTTTTTCTTTTTCTTTTTTTTTTCAATTTTTTCTCACGGTTGTATCTTATATTTCCCTTCCAAACTCCTATACATTTGATATGACGAAAAAAAACCGATGGTATGGAATTGTAATTAAGAGTAATTAAATTTTGACGTTATAAACTTTGTAAATAAAATCTATGCATAATAAAAATATAATTAAATATTGACAGAGTTAAAATCAAGACGTTCTTATTAAGATAAGATCATGGAAGTTGTCGTAGCTAGCTAAATAATTATTGAAAGATGGTCTCCATCGTTACTGTCACGTCTAGCCTAACATCAATCATCTCAATTGGCACTCATCTTTCATCGTATAGTTAAAAAAATTTTGATATCATCCTTTGAGTTCCACAGAATTTCAATCTTACACCTAACCATTAATTAGCTTTTATTTAATTAGGTTTTTGAGCTTTTTTTTTTCTCCTGAGGACTTTACATGTTTTCATGAGATAAGTGGGGCTTTGAGAGGGAAAATGGGAGAAAAGTAACAAAAAAAAATTTAGTTTTATAATATTTATTTAGCTAATTTTTATTTTAAGTTTCTCAACCTGTTTTCTGGGAAAAAAATAGATTAAAAGACATTATTTTTCATATTTCTTCGACGTTTATAAAAAAATACAAGTTAAGATAAATAAGGTTAAAATTCTATTTAAAATTATAGTACTGGTGATATTTAAAATATTTTTATTTAAAAATATATTAAAATAAATTTTTTTATTTTAAAAAATTATTTTTAACAATTAAATATTAAAATATTTTATTTGAAATAAAAAAAATTGCAAAATTTTATCCACAGTAGGAAAGGGCAACGTTGAAAATCTTAAGAAGTAAAGAAAATGAGAGATTCTGAACTACTGGGATAGAAGAAAAACATTGATGAACCTATAACGACAAAAACTTTTCAACAAAGCGTTCATCTATTTTTGAGGATTTACTTGTCTTAATTAACCCATGTCAAGAAGAAAAACCACCCGTTCTAATAGGCTTGTTTATAGCTGAATTTATTATAATAATAACGATAACGTTTATTATATAGTATTTATTAACTTAAGACATACATTATTCAGTATTAAATAGTTGTTGCGTATAGATCGCTTTGGCGCCCCCGTTCCTTCTTTTGTATGTTTGTGTTTGCATTGAGAGAGGGAAGATAGAGAAGGAAGAGACTTTTTCTCTTTTTCTGGGATTTTGAAAGATGGGTTCTTCAACACTGTTACTGTTAGTGGTTTTTGTGTTTGATCTCGTTGCTTTTGCTCTTGCTGTTGCTGCTGAACAGAGAAGGAATACTGTAAGTTATTTTTTTTCTTTTTTTGTGAAGTTTTTAGCTGCCGCTGTTGTTATTAACTTATTATAGTGGTGGTGGTGGTGGTTTTTTATGCCTTTTGCTTTGTGGGTTGTAGAGATAAGAGGGTTTTTGTTAAACTGCTTGTGCAAAAATTAGAAAGATGTTGACTTTTCTACTTTTGGGCTTCTTTGAATGCCTAGTTGGTTCTGGTTTACTTTTCTTGTTCTTCAAGTATAGTTGGTTTTGCTTGAAAGTTGTTGATACATGATGTGGTGATTTCTAGTCAGTGTTTGGTCTGTGAAATTTGTTAGCTTTGTGCAACCAAAAACTTTGAAGGGGGGGGTAAGGGAAGAGAATAAGGAATTTGTTTCAACTATTTGTAGAATTCTTTACTAGATTTGGTTTTTAAGTTCTTTGTTGGTGTTATATGTTTGTTGTGAATATGTGTGATCTTAAGATAGAGAAAAGGCTTGACATTTTCCACACTGATCTGGAGAAGTTTAAAGAATTTATTTTCAAGTTCCATATGCTGTGGTCGATGCCTTGTTGTGGCTTATGTTGAGTGTTTTCTTATTCCTAAGGTCTACACTGCCTGTTGATTTTCCTGTTAGGTTAAGAATGCTACTGAAAGCATATGAAGATGGAATTTACCTAGTGAACTTATTAAAACTGTAACTGGATGCCCAAGTTTAATATTTGCTATATAGCCAGCTTGTTACCGGCGAGTCATTAAACGTAGTTGGCTTTGAATTGAACTTAGGTGGATGTGGAGACCTTGGTCTATTCACTATTGCATGGATTTAATCTCTGGAATGCTTTTAAGAGCATTGGTTAAATGGTCCTTGAATTCTGTACATCACGGTTGGATACTGAGCAGGAAGAAAAACTTAGTATCCTGCATGTGACCTGCTGTAATTGGGTTGTTCTGTGCATTTTATAGAGTTGTAGATTCAATATCTAAGTTTCTTTTAATGATATCACACCAAGGATATAACCAAATAACTAAATCCCTTGTTGATTGAGGAAATTAATTAGTAACTTTTTCCTTTCCCTTTTCGTTTCTGCCAAAATCTGCCACCAGAGAAAATGAGCAATTGCAGACCACACCAGTTTCCTGTATCTCTGATGGACCAATTTCAACTTATCCTTGTCTTCTTTTGCAGGCACAAATTGAAAAGGTGGGAAATGATAGCTATTGTCGTTATGATTCAGACATTGCAACTGGATTAGGAGTCGGTTCACTCCTCCTCCTTATGGCTAGTCAACTCCTAATAATGGTAGCTAGTCGATGTTTGTGTTGTGGGAAGGCTATGAGACCTAGTGGTTCTAGAGCATGGGCGATCGTCCTGTTCATCACCTGTTGGTATGTGCACAAGCAAACTTTCCAAACCATGTTAAAGAAGAGAGAGAGAGGGAGGGAGGGAGATGATATTTTCCATTTTCGCTAATCTGCTCATTGCATCCTTGTACCAGGGTATTCTTCTTTATTGCTGAGATCTGCTTGCTCGTGGCTTCTGTTCGTAATGGTTACCACACCAAGTACTTATCAGATCCTTCTCACTCTTGCCAGAAAGTGAGAAAGGGAATTTTTGGAGCTGGAGCTGCATTTGTTGTCCTGACAGGCATAGTATCTGAGCTTTACTATGTTAGCTATTCCAAGGCTAATGATGAACAACCTTCTTATGACAGAGACACTGGTATAAGAATGGGGAATCTATAACCTGAGCTGATTTGGATTGAGGAGGAAGAAAGTATTGACTCTGTAACCCCGTTTAGTTGACCTGCATATCGTGATTGTGATCTTGTTTTATATTGCATAGGTCTCTTATGAGTTGTAATTAATACTGCTCTTGGCCATCATTTTTTTAGCCTTTTGATACCCTAGGATTTACCATCTATATTTTTAAGAAATAGCTGAAAGTTTGCAACCAGAGCATCGCTTCAACCAATTAAAATTATCATAGGCCCTGTATATTTGAACTGGATTTGATAGTGTTTCTTGGAGATCATGTGTATTTTCCCTTCATTGTATGACACTTACTGGTCATATGCCAGAAATCAGCAGTTCTCTTCTCTTTCTTCAGGCGAAGACAGAAGCCTTTTTTCATGGTTTTTTCAGGTGAAGACTAGCATCATCTTCAGTTAAAACTCACTAGTAGACATTTGAAATGAATTTTGTCCAAATAATGGATTCCTGGAAGCTAAATTTCTTATAGGTTTATTAGTCACCGGTCCATTCTTTCATTCAAAATGTGGTGGTTGCCGTCCCATATCAGTTTCTGCCCCCATGGTATTTGGCCTCTTGCTTTGTAATGGACCCAAAAATTGGACATAACGCATGTAGAACATGTGCACAGCCAATAAACACATTTGATCATTGCAACCAGTGTAAACCCCACAAGGAAGAAGAAACAATAACCTGTCACTGAGACATCTCTTCTGTTTCTAGCCATAGAAAGTGCTTGGCATAATTTCCCAGAAAGATCAAGTTTGTGATTGAACAAGTTGAATCGGCCTTTCCTTTTCCTACTTGTAGCATCAATAACACCACTTGAGAAGAGGCTACAATGTAATATCTGATTAGAGGCATTGTCGGCTTGTCCGGGGAAGGACCCTCCAGAATCAGAATATATAAAATAATTTCATTAGATGAATAATCCATCATTAAATAAACTTATTTTCAAAGACCATACATTTAAAAGATCCTTATATTTTACTTGGAGAAGGACTGTAGCCAGGTGGATTTGAATGTTCAAGAGGCGTGCCAGTACTTAACCAAAACTTTCTGGCTCGCTGGTCATCAATTCAGACATTTTTTTATAGCAGGTCACTGAAGGAGCCCACAATTGACCTGAATTGACCCACAATCAACAGCATGCTTTGCCCGTAAAGAAAAAGGAAAACAAGCCCTGTGATTACATTTTTCAAGTCTCCGGTTTATGTTTTTATGTTTCAATTACATATTTAAAAGTATTTAGTTAATTCAACCGTTATTTTGCATTTTTGCATTTTTGCATTGATGGCACTGAAACTGTCTTAAAATCTTGGTTAAAAAAAAGCTATTATTTCTAGTTTTTTTAACCGTTAACACACAAATTATACTATCACAATGTCAAACACTTAAGCTTGTTCTGCTCAACTGCAGTACTGAGGGGATAAGAACAAACATTCTGGAAAAATTTATAATTACATTAATATATAGTAAAAGCCATCAAGTGCCTAGTTAGGTTTCAAGAGAATCAAGAAGAACTCGTAATCAGAATTCTAAAATGCTCAAGAATTTTTGCAGAAACTACTTTACAGCAAGAATATGTGTCAGGGCTAGAAAAAGAGAATGATTCTGAGCAAGTGGTGAGAAAACAAGTCCATGAAATGTTATTATTTGAGATTTCCAAAAAATTATACATATCCACAGGAACCTTCCATCACATCTACTAATACCCCAGCTTAGCTGGAGAAGACCCCATCACTGCAGTCTCAACTTAGATACCCTTCTCTAGCACAACGTGAACCCTAACCCCTTAGCTTACTTCACATGAAATACTTCTGCATTGGAATTGAAACATTTGTGAGTAGGATAAGGAAAGAAAAAAACTACACAAATGGACACGTTATATTATAGCCTGAAGCTGAAACTGAGGGGGAAAAAAAAAGGACAGCTTCAAACAGGATACATCTAACTAGCTATAATAGTTAAAGACACATTAATATATGACTGTGATATTACAAATGAGACTGACCATTCACACAAAAACACTCAATTACTAGGAAAAAGAAAGAAAGCGGATTTATCCACACTTCTAATAAGGTTAATAAAGAACTTAGTTATGGTTTGATTTCAGAATCATCCCATGTGACATTGAGATCAGTAGAGACATAATTCTCTATATCATCCCAATTCCAGTAATTTGTTATGTCCATTCCACTGCTTGTATTTGGCACTTGCCATGGTTGAGCGATAGTGCTACTTGTGGAAGGCATGATGGTGGTGATGGTTGAGTCCTCCGTGGATTCTCCCGAGTAGTTATAAACATTTAAGGGCTGAAAGGAGCTGGTGCAAATTGAAGATGGGTTTGTGTCGAAAGAACTTGGACAAGGAAAGAGTGAGCCTTGAATTTGAGGTAGAGACAAAGATGAACCCAAAAGGACACCATTGTTGTCGGTGTTGAAACTTTTGGTATCCAAGTTGTTGCAGCTGATTGAATTCTGTTGCAGAACTGAAGATGGTGGATTGATCATTGCTTGATACAGAATTCCAGATAAATTCTTTTGATCACCAAGTACAAGATCAGGAAGATTCTGCTTTTGTTGCTGAGCTTGAATTGGCAGCTGGGGGTTAACCCTATTGATCATATTGTTGCTATTATTGGTTCTTGGAGCAGCGGTGCTTGCTGTGTTTGTGGAGGTGGTGGTGTCAGCACTTGTTTTTGATGTTTTCGGCCTCTTGTTTTTCCGGCCACCACCAACAGGAACATTTCGGAGAGTACCACCTTTAGTCCAGTGTCTCTTGCAAGTCTTGCAAAAATGCCTAGGCTGTGACTTGTTGTAGTTGTTGTAGTAACAAAACTTTGTGTTTGTTGACTCACACCTTGGACACTTCAAGGACTCGGATTGCAGCTGGTTTTGTTGCTGTTGCCTCCTTATTGCAGGAGGTTTAGGCAGCTCCAAAGTCCGTTCCTGCAATAGGGTCTGGCTCCAATCTAACCCGCTACTGCTAACCTGCTTAGAACTCAACCCCATCTTATACAACACCCAAAACAACTAAGAAAATCAACCACGAGATCAGTGACAAGAAGCAAATGTTTCTCTCTGTATTCAGACAAAACCAAAGCAAACAGATTCTCTGTATTCAGACAAAACCAAAGCAAACAAATTCTAGCTAGCCTTTGGACCTTGGAGCAAGAAGAGAAATCAAAATGAAGAATAACAAGAGGATGAGGTTGTTCCTTGTGAGCCAAACAGTGAGGAAATAGTGCTCAAGGGAAATCGGTGATACGATGGTGGCAAATGTTGCTTGGAGAAGGGTAGGAAGGTGATGAGAAGGGAGCATGTCTATTTTAGTCTCACATCTACCTTGCTCTAGTCTCTCTATATACCTATCTACTAAACTATCTGTTTAAAGGGAAAAATTAATGATGATCATAAGAATTTAAGAGATCATGATTACTCAAACTAGCTTCCTTATGGTCCGTGAAAGCTTTGAGTGATTTACTTGGCTAATGGAGGTTTGTGATTTTGGTAAAACATGTGGTACCAATTACTTGGAGAAGAGGGACGTTATTTACTTGCTGTTACCGGCCCCGCAGCTTGACCCGCAAATAGGTCTCCGAGTAATATCTGAGTTTATATAAATATATATATATATATAACATTAATTTACTTTATTTTATTTCTTAATGTAAAATTTTTAATTTCTATTCACATAAATTATTTTTTATTTTATTTTATATATATATATATATATCAAGTTTATAATTAATCTAGTTGAATCTGGATAACTTCCTAAGTAAATATAAAATCAAAGTGATCTATATTACTCAAAGAAAACCTTGAATTTTTATATTTTTTTAATAAATTTAAAAAATTATAAATTAATTTATTTTATTTTATTTAGCTTAATGTATTTTTTTTATAATCTATCTTTACATGAATTTTTTTAACTTTTCTACTTGTGAGAGCATGAATTTTTTTAACTTTTCTACTTGTGAGCGCTATATATATATATATTAAAAAATTTTATTTTTTTGACTCCTTTACTGAAGTAAACCCTTTGTGGGGTTTAATAACTATGCATTTTCTTAGCCTTAAGGTCGTGACGGGTTTCTTACACATGGATGTCTTGGTCCTTAAGGTGGTGGCGAGTTTCTTACACGTGGATGTTCAGCCACCCTAGATCGGGGCGACCTACGAATGCATGAGGTGTAAAGAGGACGTCGTTTCATGGTACCATGTACTAGACGCTATTCCTTAATTAAGAAGTCTTCGCGGGCGGGTAAACTAAGCTAAGGCACAGTAATAGTGTTGGTAAAATTGAATGGAAAGGGATGACAAGACACTGCTGTTGTGCGGTCTTTTAGTATTCAATTTGTCACCATTTGATTTTGTGTTTAGAATTTTATTAAAATATTTTTAGTTTAACAAAATATTAAATTAATTTTTTATTATTTTAACTTATTTTTAAATAAAAAAAATTTTAATAAAAAAATTTCCACCACCATAAAAAAAATTATTTTTTGTTACAATATCATTTTATTCTACAATTTTATAATATCAAACTATTAACATTTCACTGTAATAATAACACTTAAGTACGTTTGTCTTTTATAATTTGATATTTTTATTTTTTAATATTAGATTTAATAGGTATGAATTTCATATTTTTTTTTATTTTTTATAGAATTATCTTGATCTTATAACTCGGGTTTAACAAGTTAACCCGAATTAATTTATGGATTTTTTATTATTTTTTAATTGACTTTTTTTAATTTCATTCTTCAAAGTTGGATTGATTAAAATTTTGATTTTATTTTTTTAATTAATGTCTATAAGGTTATACGCTCTTATGATTTGGATCGCGATTTTTATAGGTCAGCTAAGTTGGCTAGATTTTTTTTATTATCTTTTTTAATTTTATCCTTCAATATTGAATTGATTAGGTGATTGATTAAGAATTGACTTCATTTTTTTTTCATGGATTTATCACGATCTTATAATCTGAGTTTGATAAGTTAACATAGGTTTACTCGAGATATTTATTTATTTATTTATTTATTCAATTCAACCATTCAATATTAGTTTAATTAAAAATTATGCTTTATAATTTTTTTTATTTAGCCTAATTGCCGCAAGGTTTTTTTGTTTTTTTTTTATTTTTTTAGTTTTTTTACTTTCATCTTTTAATATTGGGTTAATTGAAAATTAGGTTTCATAATTTATTTTGGTTGGTTTTCTATAGGGCTATTTCGATCTTATGAAACGGGCACGAGTTTGATTGATTGACTCGAGTGGTTTTTTCATGTGTTTTTTAATTGATTTTTTTTATTTTATCTTTTAATATTGGATTTAATGAGAATTGAGCTTCATAATTTATTTTAATTTTCTTTCTATGTGATTATCTAGATCTTATGACTCGGGATTAGTAGGTTAACCCGATTGACTCAACATATATTTATAATTAAATTTTATTTTTAATTTCATCCTTGAATATTTGGTTAATTGAGAATTGAGCTTAATAAAAAAAATTATTTATTTTCTATAGTGTTATCAGGGTCTCATGTCTTGGGTTAGAGATTTGACAGGTTAATATAAGCCTATCCGAGTAAATCTAGTGGATCCAATATGTTGTCATTTCAATATTTTAAAAAACATATCATCTTGATTTTATTTTTACTTTCATCAATCTATAGCATGCAATCTTTTTGCATATCACATAAAATTGTATTGTGTAAATCCTTTGTTAACGAGATTAATAATAGTCGTGAGATTTTCATGTATTTGTTGTGTACTTTAAGATTATTTACTTCTTTTGATTATTTGCTTACAAAAAAGCAATTGTTAAAACTTCTTTATATGAGTGAAACACAAAGTCTAGTAGGGATTAAACTACCATATAAGACTAAATTTTGAATTTTAGGGTGAAAAATTTAACCTTATAACAAGTAGTATCAAAGTATGGTTCATTTTAAGATTGTGCAACCAAAAGTCATGAAAGCTATTCGAGAAGTGTCTTGAAACTTTGATAAGGTTAGAGGAAGAAGTGTGAAGAATGCTCTATCATTGATAAATTGAAGGAAACTATGGAAAGCATTGAAAAGGATAAAAGTTTGTATATTTCTCTTATAGCAGAATCTAGTGAACAATTGAAAGCTACCAAAGAAACTATCGTCATTTTGAAACGGACAATAGCAAACACTTATAGTGTGATAAGTACATCTACACTTAAAGTGTTTGAACCGAAATCTTTCAGTAGGGCAACAAGTTACAATGAACTTGAAAAATTTTTTATGGGACATGAAGCAATACTTTAGTGTTGTAAAGATTAGCGTGACTGAAAAAATAAATCTTATTGTGATGTATCTTAGAGGTGATGCTAAACTTTGATAAAGAATAAGAACCAAAGAGGACTCAAGTGTTGGACGTCCCAAGATTGAGACATGGTATCGTCTTAAGTAAGAGCTGAAGGAGCAGTTCTTTTTAAACAACACATCTTAGATTGCATAGGAGGAATTGAAAAGGCTCAAACATTAAAAGTCAGTTCATAAAAATATTAAATCTTTCAGTTCTTTGATTTTCGATATTGAGAATATATTCGAGGAGGATAAGTTATTCAACTCCATGTCTAGACTTCAACCTTGGGTGCAAGCAGAACTAAGACAACAGAAAATAAAAGATATATCTTCTGCTATTGTTGTTTATATACCTGGTCAATTTTAAATTGATTACTAGAAAGAACTATGTGACCAATTATTAGAGTTGTTTTTTTAACTTGGATAGTTGACTATGTCACATCAGGTCATTTTTCATATAATTTAATTTTTTTTTACTAAAAATCATGTTAATAGCACCTCCAAATTATATAAAATTTTACTCAAACAAACCATAATTAAAGTTATTGATATATTTATAAGAAGTTTTTATAATTTCTTTTTGAATTTAAATCCAAAATGATACAAGTATTAAAAAATCTAGATCGGGGCGACCTACGAATGCATGAGGTGTAAAGAGGACGTCGTTTCATGGTACCATGTACTAGACGCTATTCCTTAATTAAGAAGTCTTCGCGGGCGGGTAAACTAAGCTAAGGCACAGTAATAGTGTTGGTAAAATTGAATGGAAAGGGATGACAAGACACTGCTGTTGTGCGGTCTTTTAGTATTCAATTTGTCACCATTTGATTTTGTGTTTAGAATTTTATTAAAATATTTTTAGTTTAACAAAATATTAAATTAATTTTTTATTATTTTAACTTATTTTTAAATAAAAAAAATTTTAATAAAACAATTTCCACCACTGTAAAAAAAAAAAAAAATTATAATACCACTTTATTCTATAGTTTTATGATATCAAACTATTAACATTTCACTGTAATAATAACACTCAAGTACGTTTGTCTTTTATAATTTGATATTTTTAATTTTTTTAATTTTATTTTTTAATATTAGGTTTAATAGGTATTGGATTTCATAATTTTTTTTTATTTTTTATGAAATTATCTTGATTTTATAACTCAGATTTAATAAGTTAACCCGGATTAATTCATGGCTTTATTATTATTTTTTTAATTGATTTTTTTAATTTCATCATTCAACGTTGGATTGATTAAAATTTTCATTTTATTTTTTTAATTACTTTCTATAAGGTTATACGCTCTTATAATTTGGATCACGATTTTTATAAGTTGGCTAGGTTTTTTTTTATCTTTTTTAATTTTATTCTTCAATATTAAATTGATTAGGTGATTAATTGAGAATTGACTTCATATTTTTTTCATGTTCTTTCATGGATTTATCATGATCTTATAATCTGAGTTTGATAAGTTAACATAGGTTTACTCGAGATATTTATTTATTTATTTATTTAATTCAACCATTCAATATTAGTTTGATTAAAAATTATGCTTCATAATCTTTTTTATTTAGCCTAATTGCCTCAAGGTTTTTTTGTTCTTTTTTTATTTTTTATTTGTTTTTACTTTCATCCTTTAATATTGGGTTAATTGAGAATTAGGCTTTATAATTTATTTTGGTTGGTTTTCTATAGGGCTATTTCGATCTCATGAAACGGGCCACGAGTTTGGTTGATTGACTCGAGTGGTTTTTTCATGTGTTTTTTAATTTATTTTTTTTATTTTATCTTTCAATATTGGATTCAATATTGGATTCAATGATTAGTAGGCTAACCCGATTGACTCAACATATATTTATAATTAAATTTTATTTTTAATTTCATCCTTGAATATTTGGTTAATTGAGAATTGAGCTTAATAAAAAAAATTATTCATTTTCTATAGTGTTATCAGGGTCTCATGTCTTGGGTTAGAGATTTGGCAGGTTAATATAAGTCTATCCGAGTAAATCTAGTGGATCCAATATGTTGTCATTTCAATATTTTAAAAAACATATCATCTTGATTTTATTTTTACTTTCATCAATCTATAGCATGCAATCTCCTTTGTTAACGAGATTAATAATGGTCGGGAGATTTTCATGTATTTGTTGTGT